CCTCGTAAAAATCACTGCCTCATATTACATAGTGTATGTAACTATAAAGAAAAACTTAAGATCATTTATCTATCAGTGTTCAGCGTATGCAACAGTACTTCAGTATTGCAGGGTTCGATTTCACTCCCTTCCAATGAGATTCCTAGGAAACGAGGCGCAACCCAAATCATACGAAAAGACACTCCGGTTCAGTGCAGTGCAAGAGAATCTTCTCACAAGATTTGGCCTGATCTATATTACCCCAGATCTCACCGCTGGTGAAATACAGGGGTAAGGTTAGTATATAGGTGTAACTTTTTTTTTCTTACAGGTACACTTTCAAGTACTATTTGGCAGTGATTTTACAGGGGGAGGGGGCCCGGACCTACAAGGCAGACCTTGCATTTCATTGGAATGATCACTTTATTGCAATAACATTTGCCATGTACAGTGTAGCTGGAGCATATAACGTACACAAATCGCTGTTCCATGCCTATATGAGGTCTGTTTTGCTCCATGGTCTTTCCATGTCATGGATGGAAAAGAAATAAGTAGTAAATTAGATAACAATAATAAAAAGAAATAGATATCTGGTAGCTAAATACCGGAAGGAAAAAAACTTTTATTTAGTGGCCCTGCTTGATCCCAAATTTAAGAATGACTGCTTCCTGGAACCTATGTTAGTCTGTCCCTTCTGCCTTATATAAATGTGCGCTTCGGCAAGCTAAAAATAATAAAAAAAACAAAACTAAATAGACTATATTTGACTAAAAAACACCAGAATAAGCTAGAAGTGGTGTCTAAAGAGGGGTCATTAAATGGGCATTTTACACATTTCAGCATTGACGGGTGCCCTTGCCCTGGGGCAATTGTGATTCCTGTGACCAGCCAAACCAGTTTTGTAGTCATCTAATGAACAGCTCTATTACAATTGTGTCCGCCTGCAAGATGTCCCCCTCCTTAATGCAGAACAGGCTAGAAGGCAATTCTCCCATCCTAAAATACATGCTCCACATGTATTACAATCAGGTAAACCAGTGGTATGTTTATTTCATTACTTAAAAAGGAAGTAAAATCAAGCACTCCGCTGTGCTAATGCAATCCAAAAAAACACTAAATATGTGACAGTCAGAAATCGGATTTAATTTACATGAACTCCGCTTGTGATGCACCCGTTTCTTTCTCTAGCTTTCCCCAGCAACTATTGCACACCCATGTGTATTTTATGCAGGAAGAACTTGACTACCACCATGACAGCAGTGGCCAGGCAACTATTGCAGAAGTCATGAAAGGAGCCCGGAGCAAAGAGGAAGAGTACTGGATTGGAGCAGTGCATGCTGCAAGAGATGAAAGATTCATTGAAAAGACAGCACAATGATGCCTCTGGACCCTCCAGGGTTGGGAATACCTTGCCTAACGTTTATAAAAGCGGAGGGAAGCTATGCCCGGACTGTCAGATTACCAGCAGCCCTTCCCTTTCAACAGCAAGCTGGTATTCAACAACATCTGAATGGAAAAAAAGGAAACCCTGGACAGGTGGATGTTCATCCTTTATACATTCAGGATTGTCCCTTTAAATATATGCTGAAGAAATCCCTTCAGAATTATAGGCTAAAAACAGAAAAATCTTTCACAGAAGTTGTATAAAGACACTACGTTGATCGATAGAGTGGGAGGGGCAATAGATTTTTCCTTTGAAGCACAGCTGGTGATTATCACTGTACCTTCTTCATCTGTCAGTAAAAACAACCTATTGTGTCCGATTGATTTAAACCAATGAAAGCACAATGGCATTGTCCAATATGTAATGTCTACAATTTGTTATGCCGCATCAGATGATCAGTTATCCATCTGCCCATATTTAAAAAAGACGACAACTGCGTGAAAGAAGAGTTGCTCTGCACACAAGGTAACATAGCCAGTTATCTTCAGCACAGAAATAAATATCAACTTTCCCAGTAAGCTCTGCAGGGCAGACTGTCTTATGTGATAGGCAGAGGCCACATATCTGGATATAAAGTCCTCTTCAGTATTTGTTTATCCCAAATATCCTGACGCCGTGAAACTGTGGAAGTTTTGGAAGGACGACGCTGATCAATGACAAAGTGTTGATAAGGAAATGGACTGCGTCATATTTGGTATAAAAGCTTGCAAGGAGATATCTGAAAGAGAACAAAGAAGCTGCATTGGACATTTATACACATATTTATACATATATACACTACTGTGCTGCACTGCATTGAGAGAGAAAAAAAAAGTGTATGCATGTCCATTCAGGTGCGTTGGCATCTCAACTGAATAGATTGCCTCCACAAAACATGCGTCCATTAAGGCAATGCAGCAGAATGGAAAGATGTGAAGGAGGTCCAAAATCACCCCACTCCTCTCCATGGCTGACCAGGAGGTTGAAGTATCAGGAGTAGCAACAGTCTGGAGAGAACAGTAATGGAGAGAAACAGCCAAACCAGGCTACAGCAATGACAGCTGGGGGTCCCTTGATGAACTCATCAACAATACAGAAAATTTATATCAAATACTTACCGTCATTTTCCATTTCTGGTACCTACCCATGTCAGCACATTTGGATGCAGCCACACCCAGATGTGCTGACACAAACCTTAAAAAGCTAAAATCACTTCAAGAAAATCTCAGCAGACCTATAGTGTCCATCCTCCTAAAGGCTGTGACACACTGCACGCGAAGCCGTGCAGAGCGAAGCAAAGCTCTCCGGCACGGAGCTTCGCGTGCAGTGTGTGAGCCGAGTGCAGTCAGATGATTGACTGCACCTTCAGCCAATCGGCCCGTCTGTAACAACCGGCCAGACGTCGCATCCCGTCGCGCCGGTTTATACGCGCGAGCCGATTGGCTGAAGTTGAAATTGTTCATCTCGGCACGCTCAGCTCTGCGATCTCTCGCAAGCTGAGGTGCCGAGAAGAAAGTGACATGACACACTGCTCGCAAAGGCAGCGCGCCACCGCTCCGCGCTGCTTCGCGTGCAGTGTGTCACGGCCTTAAAGCATCGAATTTTGGCCTGTTCTTGATGGACCAGCCGAAATTCGATGCATGGGTGCAGCTGCCAGCTCTGTTGGGGTATTCTGACAGCGGCCGCTGGATACAAAGGAATCAGCATCAATGCTCGTAAGCGTTGGAGGAATCGGTTCTATTTTCTCCATTCAGCTGGCAGGTTAAGCTAATTTAAGCTGAAACTGAGGATCTGGCTTCCCATTAAAGGTGTTGTAGGCCTAGAAGAGCAACGTTTTTTTATGTAGGGCCCATTTAAATTTGTCCGTTTTTCCAGATCTAGTTTGATGAACGTTATGCGCTGGCATGCAATCACTTGCATTGCAACACATTTTGATGCATTTCCATTGATTTAAATAGAATATGCATCTGCTAAAATTGGACAAGCGTGAATTGATTCCTAGCATCAATGGCAAAACAAATCGCCAAAAAGCAGGAGTGATACCCCAGAGTTATGTTGTGTCACTCAATGAATATGGCAAGAGCTTTAAATTCCTTTTTTTTTTTTACTTTTAGGATGTTATCAGAATTTAGTAGATGCCATATAAGTAAACCATAGTCCTACAGTAAGACTATTAAGCAGAAGGCTGCTACTCCTGCTTACCGTGGACTGCAATGGGAAAATGCTTTACCTTCGCAAACATGATTCATGTACTCCTGTCAGAGACATGTGTCGGATTATATGCATAACCTGGTGGAATTTGGTATCCCGTCTGCTGCAGTCTTTTGGCTCAGCCCCCTCTACACTGATTCTTCTCTACAATCCACCATCTGGATCCACACCCTGCTCTCCTTATTTCCTAGTCAAGCTACTGTTACTGTGCCTACCTCTCCAATACAGCAACTGAGGCTCAGGGTTACAGCATGTTTTACACCAAACATTATTCAGTTATGTTTTACCTAAACCCAACGGTGGCAAGTAAATTGAAAACCAGAGACCTTGTACTGAGGAAACCTGATCTTCCAGGCATTACTCACTGTGAAACTGTCCACACTCAGGACTGGTTCATCTAAATGCAAAATGTTGTTCAAATATTGAATTCTGGCCATTTCAAGCCCAGAACAGTCACGACATACCATGTGATAAATGCTAATATGTTAAGGTTTTATCCAGAGGTTGCTAAAAACTAGAGATGCACCGATATATCGGCCACCAAAACATATTGGCCGAAAATTGCACTTTTGGCAAAATTCCGAAAGTGCCATTTTCTGCCCGAAATAGCAGTGCATCTGTGTAGGCTCTCCTCCCAACTGGGCGCTGCTCTGTGTCCCGGCAGGGAAGAAAAAAACTGTCACAGGAGGCCGAGCGCTGCGGGTGGAGAGCGCTGTGAGCGGCCGGCGTCTCTCCTCCCCGCTCAGTCTCCTGTCACAGATCGGGAGAGCAGTGTGGGTGCGGAGACAGGCCTTGATGTCACAGGAGGCTGAGCTGTCCTCCCACACCGCCCAGCCTCCTGTGACAGCTGTCAGGAAGGAGAGCAGGTACAAGCAGTCAGTGATTGCTGAATGTTTGTAAATAATTGAGGACACTATAGGTTTACTATATCCTCAATTATAAATGAATGAATGGGAAGTGATCTACATCCCCTCCTGTAAATTTTAAGTTTATAAAAAATTAATAAAATATTTTTTAAAAATTTGAAAAAGTTAGAATAAAGAAAACATTGTCGGTTTTGGCCTGACATTTTGTTTCAATTCGGTTTCGTTTTTAAAATTTTCATTTCGGTGCACCTCTACTAAAAACCAATCTGGTCGCTAAAGACTGGAAATTAACTTTGAGAGAAATATTATTAGCAGTTAGTTTTTTTTGTTTTGTTTCTTGCTATAAAACCTCCTTTCTGACCTGCTAATAATTAATTGTACGCTGACTGTATAGTGGCAAAAAAAATAAACTTACAAAACAATTGGGGTTATGGTGAGGAACTTGCGAGAAGATGTAAACTGGATTCCGTAATCCATTTGCTCCCAGTGAGTGAGAAGTCGTGCTTTACCCTGGTCAGGGGTTTCAAACGGAGTCCCTTTCACCGTGTGCAGAAACAGGTACATGACCTGATAGGAAAAGCCACCGGAAAAGAAAATGACGCCATTAGAATTGTGCCATGATATGTGAATATATGCAGAACATGAAAAAAAAATATTGATTAGAGCTTTACCAACTAAAATAGAAACTTCCTCAGCACCCAGGAAAGGGAACCCTACTAAAATTGTTTTTGTTCAGTTGGTTTATATATTGCTAGGGAGAAGCACGGGCAGAGGGGTAATTCATTTATTTGCATGCAGATGGCGGGGGCAGCAGGGTTTCATTTTTATTTATTTTTTACTTTTTCATTTTTTTTAATCTTTATATAGTTGTGCCTTAGTTTTCGGGGTCCCCCAGGAGAGCGGGCGACCCCGAAAACTACGGCGGGGGGTGCGGGCAGAAACGATCGCCGCTGCTCAAATTAATACAAGTGGTCTGATCAGACCACTTGTATTAAACGAGCGGCGGCGGCTCCACAATGTACATTCAGCTCTGCATGTCCGGACCCGGGCTGAATGTACTTTAAAACTACTCACCCGGCGCCCGAAACTGCATGTCCTGGGCGTCGGGCGATAGGAATTCCACACCCGTCACTACAAATGGCAAAAACAACATCCCCAAGCACCCAGTCCTACCAAACACAGACTTTTGTTTTGATTCAAAATTATTTAATAAAACTGTTTTTTTGCCCCAAGAATATCTCAATAATTTAAAAAAAGTCTAGAGATACACTTATAATGCACTTAGGCAGCTAAAACAAAAACATGGTTCAATCCAAATTGTGCATATTAGGGATGCACCTATATCAGTATCGGTGCCAATAGTGGGAATTATCACGAGTACATTTTAACAGGGTTATTCACTAAAAGGGTGAAGAGTTTGGAGGAGGCAGAAATGAACAATCTAGGACAACAGAGCCGATTGGAAAAATTCTCCAATTCAATTCACTTTCCATTGCTGGGATTTATAGTCCTCTGTAGCTGATGGTATTATAATAATACAGTCAGCTATAGAGGACTACAAAACCCAGAAATACATTACACAGCAACGCAAAATACTATTTTTCTGCATTGCTGTGTAATGTATTGCTGGGATTTTAAGTCCCCTATAGCCGGTTGCAATACATTATACAGCAATGCACAGTAATACTATTATTCTGCATTGCTGTATAATGTATTGCTGAAATTGGTAGTCCTCTATAGCTGATGGTTTTATTCTGCATTGATGTATAATGTATTATTGCTGGGATTTGTAGTCCTCTATAGCTGTCGTCGTTCTGCATTGCTGTATATCGTATTGCTGGCATTTGTACTCCTCTATAGCCGGTGGTATTCTGCATTGCTATTTAACGTATTGCTGGGATTTGTATTCCTCGATAGCTGATAGTAATATTCTGCATTGCTGTATAATACATTGCTGGGATTTTTAGTCCTTTATAGCTGATGGTATTATTCTGCATTGCTGTATAATGTATTGCTGAGATTTGTAGTCCATCTACAGAACCACTAGGGTCGGAGTGGTTGCAGCTGTGACCGGGCCCCGGTGCTCCACCACTGTCCTAAAATCATTAGTCTGTATTGTTTTAGAAAAATTGTCACATGACACACAAACAAATCGGCAAGTAATGGAGGAAAAGTATCAGTACTCGGTCTGGAAAAACTTGTATCAGTGCATCCTAGTACATATTAATTAAAATAACGATAAAGTATGTTTAAAAGAACTTACAAGATTGTGAATGACATTAGTCAGGGTCCAGACAACAGGAACACTGAAGAAAGGAAAGCTCAGGAGGATTATGTGAAGAAAACCCACTAGAATAATGTAAGCCAGCCATATTCCTCGACTGTTCAACACCCGTGTGTTGGGGTTCACTTCACTATGAGCCACCCCAACATTCATTCTGAAAGACAAAGGGTTATTTTAACTTGTTATATTTCCTTACAAGTACATATAAAAGCAGAAATACGAAAATATGGCCAATATGTAGTGGTAGGAGTTTTACCATACATGCCATAGGGCAGGAGTGGACAAATGAATATGGAATTCAGGAGCCAGTCTGTTCAATCCTGGATCCAGAAAGATCGTTTTTAGGAGCCAGCTCCATTGACAACAATCAGAGAAAACGTTCAATTTTAGATACCAGCTGTAATTTCTAAGAAGCGTTGGCTAACTGACTCCTGGGATTGGTCCACACCTGTCTTAAGGTCCAATTGAACCCACTGTATTCTTTATTGTAATGGAATTAGTAATACATATACTGTTCCTTATCTATTTTTAAGACTGTGTGCTGGCAGCATGATATAGGGTCAGTCTGCTGCTCTCACACACCATACAGCAGCCTGGGGTTCTTAGGAAGCATTGGTGACTAGAGCAGTGTGCAGTGAGGGCCTTGCCAGACTGCTTGTGACCAAGGCAGCAGCATTGTGTGTAAGAGCAGCAGTTGAACTCTTTCATTAGGAGGGCAGCAAGAGAATTTCCTGTTGCCTATGATGTGTAACACCCTAACAGAAAAGAAATCGCTTACCTACCTGGTGTGTAGTTCATCTTCTTTGTTAATCATGACCCTTGCCAACAATATGCTGATAAAAAGTGGGCCGGCAGCACAGTAAACCAACACTTTATTTTACAATTTTAAAAGGTTTGCGTGTCTTTCTCTCTCTCCTTCCAGCACCACCGATCACATTTACACATGCAGGAGGATTTAAAGAGGAACTTTAACTATCAATTTAAGGTCTCCCAAAACAGTTCCTTTTGATGCATGTTAACTGTCAAGGTTGCCAGTGTGTTTATTTCAGCTCTCTGTCTCAACCAAACTTTCAAGCCCTCAAATGACTGGTGTCATAGGTGAACATATGTGCAGCACCATGGCAACTCCAAACCAAGTAGAAGCTAAAGCTGCCCATACACTACTAGATTTCTGAACAAAAGATCTTTCTTTACCACCCAATAATGACAAATGTCGAACAAAATTAAATTTTATTTAAACATTTGATTTTGAAATTAATGGAGCTTCCCGAACAAAAATCCACATTCATTGTTAGAATTTTTATTTGATTTTCAATCCTGTTCCTTCCAGTTTTTTCGCCACTATGGTTGAAATCAATCATGGAATTTGACCCCATCATCTTAGGATGGCACCTTCATTGGCTGTAAAGGATAGGAGGCTGTAGTTCTGCTCTAAATTTGATTGTTGGCAGTGTGAAACATCTTTGCATCTGCATAATGTACATTATGCTTTCAGTATGCGAGAGGCAGCAAGAGGGTGTTCCAGAACCACAAGCTGTGCGTTACAAGATCGTCAGATTGCAGACAACAAAGAGTGGATCTGACAGGTGCAGCAATGCCAGGGTGCAAAAACTCAAGCTCTATGTGTGTATCTAATGACAGAATAATGTGACAGAAGTGTGTGCGCTGAGACTGTAGAAGCCTTTCAATGTTTATTCTTTAATGTAAACATGTAAAGGAGATGAGCCTGATGTAAATAAACCTATCAGTGTTTGCATTTTAAAAGCCATGTTTGTATGTATAGCTGTAAAAAATAAGTCAAGGCAACTGGACTTGCTGTAAAATAAGTCCAGTTGCCTTGACTTATTTTTTAAAGATATACCATGACCTGCATGAATGAGAACCTTCAAATATATGTTTGTATGTACATTTGTAATTATATATGGACATGGGGGCATTACACGTACAGACAGAATGTGCTTCCTGCTTTGCACTGGTAATAACATTTTACTTCATTGCTTAGGGTTAGTTTGCACAGTAGGACTTTATTTTGTTCAGATTTTTTTTTGTATACATATACATAAATGTAATGTATTTTATGGGAATCAATGTTGTGGTGTTGCACCGAGAAAGTCCATTGTTTTCTATTGTTGGTATAACATTTTCGACACTTTCCAGCTGAATCATACACAGACATCTATAGGCAGCTCGTATTGCTTAGAATAGATGACAATGTGCAGATAAGGGACAGATCGGAGGGACAGTTTTTTTTTCTGTAAAGTGCATTAACCTTCAGTGAACCACCCAAGCTTTGAGGTCTTTAAGCCTTCTTTAGAGTGACACTAAACTCAGAAGTTAAATCTTAAAAATGTATTCAAGTACCCTATTTACAAAAATGTGTCTTATTTGTGTATCACTCAGCTGTAGCTCCTCAAATCATCTCTGAATTGGTGCTGACACTGAACTTCCTTCTGAAGGGTGGCTACTTCTGTTCCCCATGGTCCCGGTGTGTGTTGTAAAGTAGCCACCGCTCCAAGCTCACTCCCGTGATGGACTACAATCTCATGTTTAGTTTATTATTTTGTATTGAGATTGTAGTCCATCATGGGAGTGAGCTTGGAGAGATGGCTACTTTACAACACACACAAGGTCCATGGGGGAACAAAAGTAGCCACCCTCCAGAAGGAAGGACAGTGTCAGCACCATGTCAGAGAAGATTGGAGGATCTACAGCCGAGTGATACACAAATATGACGCATTTTTGTTAATAGTTCAGGTGCTTGAATACATTTTAAATCCTCAGTGTAGTGTAGTGTCAGTTTAAGGACAGTGTGCACATGTCTGATAACAACGTCTGCCAGTATTGTACAGACAAGGTGAACTGTGGCAAACATTACTTTCCAACCCCCTCCTTAAGGCCCAACTCTGGGCACAATGAAAGTAGTAGTATTAAAGCAGTTGAAGACTCTGCTTACTCATGATGAACACATACAGCCCCTGGCTTGTTTTGTAAATGGCCAGGGGCATATTGCAGCAGAGATTGGAGCATAGTGCTGGAGATCTACAGAGCTTACATCCAAGTGGGCAGAGAGGGAACTCGACTTCCACCCACATGGAAACAGAAAGATTTTCAGGACTCATTATAGCATCCATAACAGGAAGTGGTTTTTGAGCAAGCAGTCTTCAATTGCTTTAACACAAAAAAAGTTGGCCATACCCACCAGGAATCGCTCTCATTCAGCCTGCAAGGCCTGTTCCCATGGCTATTAAATACCCGAACAGTACCTGTATCTGATTGGACAAAGAGCTGTTTGGCTGAGAATATTCAGCCTGGCTACATGAAAACTCAAATGAAAAATTGACTTTTGTCAAATGGAGGGGAGTCGGCAGGGACACACAGTGCTCAAATTTCAGGATTTGGACACAATTAGGGGAATTTATCAAAACTGGAGCAGACAAATTCTGGAGCAGATTTCCACTGCAACCAACCAGCTTTTCTGTCTCGTTTTCAAATCTTACCTGAGCGAACTGAAGAGAGAAGCTGATTGGCTGCCATGGGCAACTGCTCCAGATTTTGATGTAACCAATATAAAATAGGCGTTATCTCAATTTGGCTCTAAAAGTGGAGCTGCACTTTAAGTGATTTATAAATACAGAGCCATCGTGTGCATTTTCTATCTGCCTGCAGTTCAGACTCCCCTGTTATACAGACACAGAGCCTTCTCTGCCACCCTTGCAGTGAAAGCCCTGTGGGTGGACGGTGGCAGGAAGCAGCCATTTTGCAGTCTGGGTCGTGTCATGTATATTGTACAGAGTCAGCTTTATAAGGACAGGGCCTGCAGTCTACATAGACTTACACTATATCAGCAACAACACCCCCTGAGAGATACCACCACTTCTTACCTGCAGCGAGAGCCTCCGCCTGTCACCGGTCTCCAGGAAACGCCACCACTTCCGCTACGAGACGTCTTGGGCGGAGAACAAGTGACGAAATCCCGCATGCAAGATGGCGGTCAAGCCTTTTACTGCAATTCCCGGGAGGGCTTTGACCATAACAAAGATGGAGACGGATGTGTGACGCAGATTTGCTGCGCAGAACACCTGGCAATTTTGATTGGCTCACACGCGTCTTCGTAGCCTCTCGCTGTTTGGCTTATGCTCGCTACCGTACAACGTGACCAGCAAATGAAAAGCGCTTCCTGGTCAAGCGATCGGACGTTAACAAGCAGTCTTTTGTAGCCGTAGAAGAGCGTTAGTTATACGCAGTGACTTAGTCTAGCTGTAAGTGAGGATTGTGTGGCGGCGCCGCTGGATTTTGTTGCCGTCTCAGGAAAGGGAAACATAGTGAAAACTCCCGCGCTTCGTTGTGGACGTGACGTCACGTGTGCGCCGGACCAATAGTAGTGCTTGTTGGGAGTGTGCCTGCAGAGGGGTGTAAGAAACATGGCGGAAACTGTAGATATTCTCAAGCTAAAGGTATGGCGGGGACCAACAGAAAACAACTCAGTGGCTTTGTAACGGGTCTGAGTTGGTAACTGTGGCATTTGTCATAGGGGCTGGTGTGTCTGGGAATCATGGTCTGTTCAGCCCTAAACTAGTTTTCCCCCATGTGTTGGGGGGTGCGAGTACACATGGAGAGGGTGTAAAGGTTGTTGTCCTCCTTCTGTCTTAGTGAAGTTTGCTGTATAGTGCCAGAACATGCAATGGTGGTCAGAGGTGGGTGTACTCCGGTTCTGGGGGTGTGCTGGCACTGAATATGCCCAACTTCACAGATCTGAAACCAGCGTACGGCTACTACCAGTGGAAGTGGACTGTATGCCGGTACTTGTCTTTTCCTACTCCCTTATCATACAGGAAGTATATAGTGCCAATAGTTTCCATAGCATTCTGTATTATAAAGGGAGATGGTACAGTTACAATACACTGCAAGACAAGATGGTTAGGAGGATGCTGCTGGTGAGAGCTTACCATCCAAAAGGAGGACAAGCGATATAAAAGGTGGTCATTGAGCTGATGGAGAAAGTAAAAGTACAGTTATTATGTGAAGGTGGGTTAGGCTTCCCTGAAGGATCACCTAAGGGTGTACAGGGGAAGGCAACTAGGTCCCCCAGCTATGCTTTAACTACAAATCCCAACATGCCTCTGGGAGACATGATTGCACCTGTCAGTCAAATCCCAACATGCCTCATGGGACTTGTAGTTTCACAACAGCTGGAGTGCAAGTGGTGCCCACCCCTGGGAGGAGATGGACATATTGGGACAGACTCTGGAGAAGTCCTGGAGTTGGTTATGGTCTGGTGTCTTTATAAAGAGTACTTGTCACTACTAATACATAGCACGCTTCTCACACCTGTTGTGATCATCATGAAATTAGGTTTAAGTAACACTAAACGCAAGAATTAAACCTTGAGAAAATACATTTAGGTACCTTTTTAACTATTAACAAATTGTATCTTATTTGTATATTCCTCGGCTGTAAATCCTCAAATCATCTCTGAATTGGTGCTGACAATGTCCTTCCTTCTGGAGTGTGGCTGCTTTTGTTCCCCATGGTCCCTGATTGTGTTGTAAAGTAGTCACCGCTCCAAGCTTGCGATACGCTCTGTGTGAATGGGGCCTAAAGCTTGCTATACACCTTACAACCATCGCACGACTTTCATCGTAATTAAAAGCTCGTACGATCTGCCCATCTTGGACAGGCAGATCGTACTTGCGATCATCGCAAGCCCGCCCCCCTGAGGGGAGGGTTTCCGATGACAGCAATGCTGAGCACACACCGGCCCGTTCGGCATTTGTCTTCTGAGCATGCCACTAATCCATGGAAAATCTTACGCTTTTCTGCAGGTTTTCCAGCATGCTTTGAAGACAAAAGACGTGCGACCGTACAGTAGAAACGGTTGCACGCCTTCCAAACACCTACCGATTATCGTACGATCGCGGGATCACCCGCGATTATCGTACGATAATCTTCAGTTGTATGGGCACCTTTTAAGGATTTGTGTGACTAAAGGTGCCCACGGGTGTGGAAATTTAAAAAAGAAACTACTTGTCCAAGGGCTAAAGTGAGGGCCATATCTACTTGTCCTTCATGACAATCTACTTGTCCCAATACAAAAAAATAGTTTCAATCAAAACTAAGGATGCACCAATACCGGTTTTTCAGTATCCAGTACGAGTACCGAGTTTTTGCTTTCGGACCTCGCCGACACTGAATACTAATAACGGTGCTTCCGCTGACATAGAGCAGGCTTCCCTGGTAATCGCATCCCGCCCAGGTTCCTGATTGCCACGGAAGCCGGCTCCATGTTGTTTGGCCTGCTTGATTGTGATTGGCCGGGAAACCTGTTTCCCGGTCAATCAGGAAGCCGGGTGGCGAGTAATGACCTGATTGACCGGGAAACTGGCTCGATGCTGATTGGCCAGGAAGCCAGCTTTCCAGCCAATCGGCAAGGAGCCGGCACCTGATTGCTCGTGAAGCTGGCTCCATGTTCCCCTACGGCACTGCCAGTCAGGAACTTTTCATCTGGTCGTTAAGTTCCAATATCGGGGAAGGTATCGGAGCATTTGGGTGAGTACGAGTACTCGCCCAAATACTCGGTATCGGCACTGATACTAGTATCGGTGCACCCCTAATCAAAACATATTTGACTGTGCTAAATAGCGCTTCTCACTGGTCAGCGCTGTCATCTGACCACGTTGACCAATGAGTGCTTGCAATTTCCGAGCGAAATTCAAAATGCATAGGGGAGGACTGCGCTGGACAGCAGTACAGGGGACAGATAGTACACCCATACTGGCGGAGGTGAGGGATTGTTCGTCGAAAGGTAAGTATAGCCAGGGGGGTGGCGGTTTGGGAGAGACAGGGCCAGATTTAATTGGGTAATTTTTATTTTTCCATATTACCTGGGAAAAAATTAACTTACCCTTTAATGCACATTGTGTGTGTGTAAGAGAATTCTGGCTACCACCATGGAATGGCGGCTGAAATCTCAAAGCACATGCAGAATTTCCTACGCATGCGTTTATTTGCATGCAGATGGTGGGGGCAGCAGGGTTTCATATTTATTTAATTTTTGACTTTTTCATTTTTAAAAAAAATCTTTATTTACTTTTTCCACTTAATGTTCTTCCTATCACATAGGGCAGTGGTTCTCAACCTTTCTAGGGCCGGGACCCCTTGGTGACATTTGCCAAGTTGTGGTGACCCCCAACGGTAAAATAGGAGAGGGCTGAGGAGGACTCTCACCTAGCACAGCAGAAATCACACAGCGACCCACAGGTTGAGAACCACTGTTGTAACAGCTAAAATGGCAAACCATATAACACAAGTAGAGGGTGTCAGCTTTTATTATTAATAATAATGATGATAATCACTAGATGGGGACCTGATGGACAACTGCAGGTCCCCCTCTGCTGATTGACAGCAGCAGTGGGCTGGTGCAATAGCTAGTTTGCTATTGCAAAGTGAAATAGCCAATAGGAATGTAGCTATGCATTCCAATGCTGATTTATAAAAAAAATTCGGACTTACGGCGGCCGGGGCTCCGATGTCAGAAATAAAAAAATAAAAAAAACGATCGCAGCGAAAGGTTTACTCTGCTCGATCGAGCAGATTAAACCTTTCCGGGAGAAAGTGTTTCTCTCCCAGGCAGCCGGGAGCCGCTATCTAATAGCGGTAGACTCCCCGCGACCCCTGGCAAATTGTCATTCGACCCCCGAAGGGGTCCCGACCCACATGTTGAGAACCGCTGACATAGGGGATTAAAATCCCGTATGTGATAGTTTGGAGATGACAGGTTCTCTTTATGGAACCTGCCCTCCAACACAGAACAGCTGTTCTGTGTAGTTCCTGACAGCCGAGACAGGTGGTGCTGTGATTACAGCGCCACTGTCTCAGAGAACACACACAGAGCCCGTAGAGCAGACGTTCTTCGTCTGCTCTATGTCTGTGCCGTAGTTTTCGGGGTCCCCCAGGAGAGCGGGTGACCCGAAAACTGCGGGGGGCGGGCAGAAACGATCGCCGCTGCTCAAATTGATACAAGTGGTCTGATCAGAGCACTTGTAGTAAACGAGCGGCGGCGGCTCCACAATGTACATTCAGCTCTGCTTGTCCGGAGTCGGGCTAAATTTACATAAAAACTACTCGCCCGCCGAAACTGCATGTCCTGGGCGTCGGGCGATCGGAATTCCACACCCCTGTCACTACAAATGCCAAAAACAACATCCCCAAGCACCCAGTCCTACCAAACACAGACTTTTGTTTTGATTCAAAAATACGATAATCGTATGCGATCGACTTTTCGTACGACAAGCGCAAGGTGTATGGGGTGTGCAACCGCCAGTACTGTACAATCGTACGACTTTTGTCTTTCCTGCAATTTCGAAAACTTCAGTCAAAGTCAAAAGTCGTACGATTAACACTGCTCATGCGCATACAAAAATACGTGCGGTCGCTTACCGCAATTCGTCCAGGTCGTACGACGGTTCGATCATTGGACGAAAAGTTTCGTACGATAATCGTAAGGTGTATGGGCATCTTAACAAGGGCCAAATTGTAATGACTGGATCAGAGGAACTCAAAAACTGTAGCTCTTGTGGAATGTTCCTGATTTGCAGTGGTCAGGACCTACCAGAATTGGTTCAAGTAAGGAAACTGGGGGCAGGGTCATGAGCGGCCAAGGCTCATTGATGCACGTGGGGGGCGAAGGCTTGCCTTGTAGTCTGATCCAATAGAAGAGCGACTGTAGCTTAAAATGATGAACGTTCATGCTGGTTCCAATAAAAAGGTGTCTGAACGCAAAGTGCATCACAGTTTATTGTATATGTGGCTGTGTAGCTCAGGCCAGTCAGTACCCATGCTGACCCGTGTCCACTTCCAAAAGACCCTATAGTGGGCACGTAAGCAACAGAACTGGACCATGGAGCAATAGAAGAAGGTGGCCTGGTCTTCTAAATCGTGGTGTGTGTGTGTGTGGTGTTGTCTGCGGTAGAGATGGCACCAAGATACACTATGGGAAGAAGGCAAGTCAGTGCAGCCAATGTGATGCTTTCTGCAATCATCTGCTGGGAAACCTTTAGTCCTGCCATTTATGTGGATGTTACTTTGACAGGTACCACCTACCTAAACATTGTTGCTGACCGAGTACACCCCTTCATGGAAACTATTCCCTGGTGTCAGTGGTCTCTTTAGCAGGATAATGTGCCTTGCAACACTGCAAAAGGGTTCAAGAATGTTTTGGGAACACAACAAAAAGTTCAAGGTGTTGATTTGGCCTCCAAATTCTCCAGATCTAAATCCAATAGAGCTCCCTTGGCATGTTCTGGAAAAACAAGTCTGATCCATGGAGGCCCAACTCTGCAACATACAGAACTTAAAGGATCTGCAACTGACGGCTTGGTGCCAGATACCACAACATATCTTCAGAGGTCTAGTGGACTCCATACCTTGATGGGTCAGGGCTGTTTTCGTGGTATAAGGGGGACATGCTCATTATTACGTGGGTGGTCATATATGGCTAAGCGGTGTATATTCATGCATTTGAAGGTAATTGTATTTTTCCAATGGCAGAGTATGTCTTTCTGATCTATTTGACAAATGTAAGACGTTTTTGCATTTATTTGTAGTTCTGCATATTCTTTCCAGGTAGTGTTTGTCCTTTTCTGCACATAGAAGAGTCCTAAACTGCTATCCGTTTTCCACTTGAAATAACACAATTCCCTAACAGTGTCTTATTTGATTTGATATTAGACCGCTTTACAATAATTTACTCCAACAGCTATTCCTTGCCCTACTTGCCCATTATTTCCACTAGGTCCTGCGTTGTCCTTTTTCCTTTTTTTATTTTAAAGGAAAGCCTAAGCTTTCTTTTCCTGATTCATAGAGCAATGGGTATGTGGTTGGTTTGAAGAGGACAACTCCTTCAGCTGCCAACTGAGGGTTATGATCTCATTGCTTCAGAGTTGGCTACATTCTTGCCTAGCCAGGGGCTCCTGGTTTACAGTAAGACACAAAAAAGAGACATCCCATGGCACATTTATTCTTTACAGGGCATTCGTCTGCCACGATTTTATGAAATTGCACCTATTCTTGAATGGAGAAAACATTATACATCCATGTCTCAATCTTTGCTTTACTTAAAATATGGTCTGTGCCACACAGATCTTTTCCTGACTCTTCAATTTCTGTTTGTGTTTTCTGATTATGCAGCTTGCAGAACTCAAACAGGAATGCCTGGCCAGAGGTTTGGACGTGAAAGGGAATAAGAGTGACCTGATCAGCAGACTTCAAGCATATCTAGAGGAACACGGTTGGAATAGCTCAACTTCTGTTCATTTTTATATTGATGTTAAAAATCACATCTCAAAAATCATGACATGGTTGCAAATGTTTTGAATTTAAATCAAGTTACCCCAAAAAAATTGGTATACTTTGACCGCTGTGGGTATTGCATCAATCATTTTGCAGTCCTGATATTTTATATACATGTTTTATTTTGGGGTATGTCAAAAGAAATCTACCTTTTGGGTAATAAAATTGTGTGTACTACTTAAAATAAATGTACACTTTTAGTTAGAAGTAAAAGATCAACTGGAAAAATGACATTCTTACATAATTGAAAAAAATGACACAAGGCCTCAGACAACAAGCGAGACCTCTAGAAGCCTACAGACTTACAATTCTATATTTGATGGCCATGTCTTTCACATATCATTTCATGAGGAAAAGGTCTGTTATTTAAATATACAAGTCCGTGAGATAGGAAGAAGTTGGTGCAAGCTTCACACCAACTTCTTGCTATCTCACGGACTTGTATATTTAAATTACAGACCTTTTCCTCATGAAATGATATGTGAAAGACATGGATATCAAATATAGAATTGTAAATCTGTAGGCTTCTAGAGGTCTCGCTTGTTGTCTGAGGCCTTGTCATTTTTACAATTATGTAAGAATGTAATTTTTCCAGTTGATCTTTTTACTTCTAGCTAAAAGTGTACATTTATTTTTAGTACACACAATTTTATTTTGTGTTCTTGTTTGCAGTAAGACTGTAGTTACTTTCCGGACATTAGCAAGGGTTACGGTTTTCCTTTCATCTTTGGAGAACAAGAACTGCTCTTTCTTCCTAAACGTATGGATAAAGTCTAGTCCTGCTTTAGATCTCCATTGGTTTCTCTATTTATTTTCACCATGTTGCCATTGGAAGATAAGGTCCCCCAATTCTTGGCAATGTTTCAAAAAAAACTGTGCTTAATCTATACACTTTCACGGGCTGTTGTGTTTATCGGTATAGTAGAAAAATGTTGTGGCCATTGAAAGAATAGGGAAAAGTTTTAAAAAGTTTGCAGGAATTCATGAAGTGAGATGCACATATAGTCTCATTCAGTAAGACATTGATGGGGTGGGGGATTGGCCAATCTCAGAACTGTTACATGTGAGTAAGGGGAGTGACATAATCCCCCATTCCTGGAAGTGTGACATAATTTGCTGCCTAGAACAGTGAAGAACCATAGAAATGGGAAGCTTAAGCAGCTGCAGGGGCCTCATTAACATGATCATGTTGTTGTGTCCTGTAGAGCTGCAGCTAACGATTATTTTCAAAATCGATTAGTTAGCCGATTATTAAGTTCGATTAATCGGATAAACAATAAAATAAAGTTTCAAAATGGCTCCAGCGATAGGACTACTAGCAAGCTTGGAGCGGTGGAAGTAAAAAAGAAAAAAAAGATAGTGTGGTGTGCAATATAGTGAAATGGAAAGTGTAAAATTATACAGCAATGAATGCAGAATGGCACCGGCTATAGAGGACTACAAAACCCAGCAAAAGCACATTATAGCTGGCGGCATTCTGCATTGCGCTGTATAATGTACTATTGCTGGGTTTTGTAGTCCTCTATAGCTGGTGGTATTTAGCATTGTACCACTTTATAATGTACTATTGCTGGGATTTGTTGTAGTCCTCTATAGCTGGTGGTATTCTGCATTGAGCTGTATAATGTACTATTGCTGGGTTTTGTAGTCCTCTATAGCTAGTGGTGTTCGGCATTGCACCACTGTATAATGTATTATTGCTGGGATTTGTTGTGCTCCTCTATAGCTGGTGGTATTCCGCATTGCGCTGTATAATGTATTATTGCTGGGACTTGTAGTCCCCTATACAGCGCAATGCAGAATATCACCAGCTATAGAGGAGTACAACAAATCCCAGCAATACATTATACATACAGTGTATAATGCATTGCTGGTATTTGTATTCCTATGTATAATGTACAGTACAATGTACCATCAGCTATAGAGGAATACAAATCCCAGCAATACATTATAGAGCACCATGTGTGGGAAAGTGCAGGCTTACCTGACCAGTCTTCCAGCAACTTGCTTCTGAGATTGGACCTGTCTATCAGCGGCTGTCATCCCCCCACCCCAGCTCCTCCTTACTACATCTCCGCGCGTGCCTTGCCGATCGTGGATGGGCAGGAAATGTGAGGTGGGGAGGAGGTGCGGCGTGTGGAGCGTGGATGCGAGCGGGTCTGGCAGCAGCGAGCGTGGGGTCGGGAGGATGTGCGGCGCACAGCGTGTGGAGCTGTGAACAGGGCCAACTGATCGGAAGCCGATTAATCGATTATTGAAAAAGTTGATAACTTTTTCAATAATCGATTATGTCGATTAGTTGTTGCAGCCCTAGTGTCCTGCATGAGCAAAGCAAATGTTCACTTTAAAACATGCTTGCGAGGCAGTGTATGTTTTTAGATGTTTAAAGTTGGTCAGCCTAGAACAAAATGCATACGATTTACCAGTATAGCTTTTTCAAGTGACAACGATTTATAGAAAACTTGTCAAAGTAACATTTTAGGCAGCCATTGCTTAACTGCTGGTTGGCTGTCATTCTGCAATTAAAGTGAAATGCTCAATGAAATGCCAAGTCTTAAAATCTAATGGTTCTTTGTTTATCTAACAGTTGAAGAAGAGGTCAATGAAGAGGATGTTCTAGGAGATGAAACAGAGGTAATTCCCTTTTTTAAATTGCAATTAGCAATTCAAATCCTTAATTTGTTGTACCTTGCCTTTTTTACTTTATAGCTTTGCACTCTTGATAGATAAGGCCCTAAATCTCAGTTGTGCTCTGGGGAACTGTTCCTAGGCACTCTAATGCTGGCATCTTAATAAGACCATGATTTTGCCAGTTCCGCCGTTGCCACAGCCCTGAGTGTGCGCTAGAGAAAACACCCTCTAGTGACACTTCTGCTCTCCCTCCATCCATAGGCTGATTAATAGCAGAGTACATCCCTGTACTGTGCCTTTTGAGTCTTTTGCAGTACATGTCTTTTCCTGATATTCTTGTTATATCACGTTGACAACTATAGCCATTGCAACAATCTACCTTCGTAAGTTGCGTGTTTTGAAACGGGAAGAAAGACGTGATCATGTAACTTACTTTTTAGAGAACTTTAAATGGTACTGTCAGCATTTTTGTTGTTGAAGGTTAATGCACTTACTGAGGACTTCTTTACTGAAACTCCTCTTCTCTGGCTCAGTGTTCCACAATTTGCTGCAATCAATTTTCTTCCTTTCGCATGTATGGTAATTTTTGTCTTCCTGAGCTGGCCATATTTAATGACCGAAGATGCTGAACCAGGATATCCAAATAACACTCTAAGCCAGGGGTGGCAAACTCAAATTCATCGGGGGCCGCATCAGCAGTATGGTTACCCTCAAAGGGCCGGTTGTATAGGACTATGCATCTACTCTTTATTATCATAAATAGTTGCCTCTGCATTCAGTTGCTACTGGTTTTAATAATAATTTAAGTAATAACTAGCCTTGAAAAAAGAAGCCTAGGAAGAATAACAGCAAGCAGATATTCAAATGTACAATTATTGTACAATTTATTTAAAAAATGTTTAGGAACTGGGCTGGCTGGATCAGGCAGATGCGGCCCTCTAATCAGGCATATTAGAGGGCCGCCCGCTGGGGCCTCCCGAGTACCCCCTTGAGGAGCGAGCGTCTGCGCGATTAGAAAGACGCATCTGTAGCGGCAGAGAGACGGCGAAGGGTTAAGTCGGCCCCTGGCTGGTGGTATTCAGCAATGCTGTATAATCATTATACAGCAATGCTGAATACCACCAGCCCAGCTAGTCCCCCAATCCCCTCTTTCCCCCCAAGCCAGTCATTACCCACAGACTCCCCCCAACCTCACCTAACATATGCAGGCTGCAGCACGGCACCTTCATCTGCGTCCTTGGCAGCCAGTGGAGGGCAGGGGGCACAGGAGAGGGTGCCTGCAGAGACGGGTATTGGCTCCGCCCCTAGATCCCCGGCATCTCTTTTTTTCCACCCCTGCTCTAAGCCATTTTTTTTTTTAATTATTATTTGATAATTAAAGTGAATCATCATTTTAATGTGTGACCATTTTCAAATCTTTAAGTAAATTAGCCTCCTTATTAGAATTTGAGGATCTGGTCCATCAGCAGATCATAGTCTATTTCTACATTATATAAATATTGATCACTAAAAAGAGTAAAAATGCTTTATGTGCTGAGAGCACTCTACAGGGATATAAATAAACCAATGTAGCCTGTGTTCTGAAGGGTTAAAAAAAAAACTGTCAGCAGTTCCAATGCATCTACACTGCTCTAGATCAGCTGAAT